AATATGACCACCATCTCCGAGATCGGGGTCGTCTTCCCTCGGTAGAGGCACACCGCAGATGTTGGTGTTGTGGTCAACCTCTAGGCCTCCGAAGGACCACCAAGCCCGATGAGGGGGCCAACGAGCTGGCTTGGGCACGAGACCGCCACTGCACCCCGAGGCACGAAGTGGAGTGTGTTCCGGTGAAGGCTGCACAGGAGGTTGGCGTGCTGGGCCAAACCAAGGCCTTGCCTCCACCGGCGCGCTACTGGCGCGCAGCCCTAACTTAATCAAGTAAGCCAAAGGGGGCCACAGGGGCAAGGCGAGTGTGCTCAGGTCCCGTCGGCTCTTCTGTGCTGCGTGTTGTTGAGATGCACTTTTCACGGGACCGCAGCCCCGAGGTCCGGGAGCGCCTGGGCGCCTCCTGGGCTTCCCGCGCGTCCTCGCGCGAGGGGTGAAGAACGGACCGAGATGGCCCAACGAGGCCCCCAAGACCGCCCAAGAGGGCGCCGAGTCGATCCAAGGTCGCCCCCAGACCCCCAAGACGGCCTGAAGACGGTCCGAAGAGACCCCGAAGACGCCGCACGAGAGCCCCAAGAGGCCCCCCGAGAGGGCCCCAAGAGGTAAAACAAGTCAGAGTTTTGCACTAGGTGTTTACTAATATTTGAGTTCTTGTCATTTCGGGCTCCCGACGTTCCAAGACGGCTCGCCCAAGAGAAGCCCAAAAAGGGGAACTCGAAACACCCCTTCCGGGCCGGGAGACAATTTCAGAAGATCTGACAACTGTCGCTGTCAAAGAGTATGCGCACGGCCTCTCGAAACTCCAAAAATGTCCGTGTCGCCTGCACCTGATTGCGAAAGGGGGTACTATCATAACTGGCATCGTCATGTTACATTTCAAACTCTCATACTTCCCTGAGCAAACCACCGGGATGGCTTCACCGTCCCCCGATCATCACTTGAGGTACCTGCTGCAATGCTGAGCCTCTGCTCCTGATATATGAGAGAACGCGTTTCACGGACGCTTGCCTTGGGAATATTTGGCGGCGCGTTTCAAACCGGGGGGCGGGACGCCCCCCCCAACACTCGGCGCCGTCGATCAAAACCATAGGGACTCCCCTCCCCCCCAAACGCCCCCCCTCCCGAACCCGCCCCCCCTGGCGCAGGGCGGGAGGGGGGGTAACCCCCCCCCCTCCCCTCGGCGCCGGCGCCGGCGCTGGCGCTGGCCAGCAGCGCCGGCGCTGGCGCCGGCGACGGCGGGGGACGCAGCGACGATTACCACCACTACCACCACCACTACCACCACCACCACCGCTTCAACCCACCACCACCAACAACAACAACAACAACAACAACAACAACAACAACAACAACAACAGCACCACACAACCACCACCACCACAACCACCACCACCACAACCACCATCACAACTCACCATCACCACCACCACCACCACCACCACCGCCACATCATTACCAGCAGCACAACCCACCGCGTCCACCACAAGCCACCACACCACCACCACCACCACCGCCACCACCGCCACCACCACAACCGACGTCCACAAACCACCGCCACCACCACAACCCACCACCACCACCACAAACCACCACCACACCACCACAACCACCACCACCACCACCACTCACCATCACCACCACCACAGAAACCCACCACCACTACCACCACCACCACAATCTACCACACCACCACCACCACCACCGCCACAAGCAACTACTACTAGCACCACAACCCACCACCACCACCACAAACCACCACACCGCCACCACCACCACCACCCACCACCTCCACAAATCTCGCCACAACCAAAACCCAACACCACTTGCACCACCTACACAAACCACCACCACACCACCACCAACCACCACCACCACCACCACCCCACCACAACCCACCACCACAACCCACCACCACCACCACAAACCACCACCACATCACCACAACCACCTCACAACTCACCATCACCACCACCACAAAAAAACCCACCACCACCACCACAATCTACCACACCACCACCCACCGCCACAACCACCACCACTACCAGCAGCACAACCCACCACCACCACCACAAACCACCACCACACACCCACCACCACCACCACCAGCACCACCTCCACAAACCACCGCCACAACCACAACCCACCACCGCCACAAACCACCACCACACCACCACCAAACCACCACCACCACCACCAGCACCACCACAACCCACCACCACCACCACCACCGCAAACCACCACCACACCACCACCAAACCACCACCACCACCACCACCCACCGCCACAACCACCACCACACCACAACAAACCACCACACCACCACCACCACAACCACCACCACCGCTACCACCACCACCACCACAACCCACCACCACCACCATCAACGTCGTCCTCGTCGGCGCTCCCCGCCACCGCCGCCCGCTTCCGCAGGCGCCGGCCCAGAAATGGAAATCGTCGTCCCCGCCGCCGTCGCCAGCCGCCGCCGACGCAAACGCCGGCCCGAGGAGAGGCCCCCCGTCACGGGAGGGGGGGTGGGGTTGAAACCCCCCCCCCTCCGTCACGGGCGAGAGGGAGGGGGGGGTTCGAATCCCCCCCCCCATCCAGGGGGGGCGGGTCCGGTTCCAAACATCCCCCCTCCAAGCGACCACAGAACGCACTCTTTTGTGATATATGAAAGCCGCGGGTTCCACCACCACACAAAAACCGTATAAGTGGCACCAAGAACGCGACCTGTGTTGTAAGGATGCTGCACATCATCGGGATAATGAAACTTTTTACCGCCCCTAGAGCCACGGACTTGCTAAGCGGCGCCCTGTCCGGATACAGCCGAGTATGCAAGGTAGCGTCCCTCATAGAAACGACTATATGTTGCCAGTTTGCCTTTCGTGCCTCGTCACTCACAATAAGAACTGTAGTCAATCAGAGACAAAATAAGAAAGGAAGGAAAGCGGGGCACGAGCGATGCGGGTAACTACTTAGCACAGCCTGTGACACCCCTTCCCACTTTGGCGGACATGCGGCCGATTACGACAGATCGTGAGATCCTCCCAGACGTCCTGGCAGATGCTCTCTGCAGGCCGACGCCCCCAGCACCCACGAAAGGCGGTGCACCCAGCCAACAACATGCCAAGTCCCACCTAACTATCCGACCAGCCTTACCACTTCTTGCGAGGACCGCCCGAAGAAGCATTGCCTTTTCGCATGCCCCTCTGCTTCACCAAACTCGCGCAGCAGCATGCGCGCCAGCACTGCAAACGTATGAAAACTAGGTGGGCAAACACGCAAAGAGCGGCCCAGGAAACGAGGCACGTGACAGGCACAGACCAAAAGGGGAGACTGACATAGACACGGAGGAGAAACAGGAGGCAAGGGCTGCGTGGCGCGGACAATGAAACCCTGGGCAAGGGGCACGCGGAGACCCCACCCGCACGCTTCTCCACGATGGGGAACAAGCCTGACACCAGCAGGCCCGACGAAGGACTGGCCAACGATCCCCGAGCAACGGGAGGAGGGTGAGGCCAGACCGAGAGGCTGGCGGTGCAGCTGCAAGGGGGAGACGGGCGAGAGGAGAGGGACAAGCTGGGTGCGCTCGCGCCATGTCCTGACATCCTACCCCTCCGTGCTGCCTCCGACACAGGGAAAAGCCATGGTGCCAGGCCGCCAGGAACGTAGAACGGGGCGAGCCGACCACAAACGAGAGGATCATGCGCGCGGGGGGCAGGAAGCGGACAGAGGAACAAAGAACCGCAGAAACATGAGCTGTCTTGCGTGGATGTCCTAGCTTTTCCCTCCTCCTCCTCTCGTCCAAGTCGCACGGCGAGCGAGGAGCACTATGCGAACCTGTCGCAGAAGAACCGCAACGGGGTATCTACCAGGCGCATGCCCATCCCGCCCCGCCGCGCTGAGGTGGTCTCCGTCCGCCGACGGGCGCCGCAGCGCCCACAGCAAAAGGACCCCGATCGCGGCATGCGAAATGGGGAGAGGGGGAGCGAGAAGACCGGCAGAGAGAAGGAGACGATGATGAGGGCAAGGACGGCGCGGCGGCGGCGGATCTGCACATGCCCAAGCACTCAACTCCCCAGGAACCACTGGACGCAGGGCGCATAATGAGCACGATGCCCACATCGGTGGCAAACTGAACGGAGGTCCCCTCCCATCGATCGACTGGGAACACCTCGATCGAAGCACGGGGTCGAAAAAAAACATGCTCGTTTAGAGTTAAGATAAGAGTAATCAGACACGAGCGCTGGGAGGAACGACGAAGAACAGAAACCAGCAGGAGCAGGAGTGCGATCCGCGGGAGGATCAGGGCGACATGGAAGGGCGAGGGGGAATAACAGGAGCGTGGCGACAACGACGGGGAAGGATACTCAGAAGTGTGACCCTGGCTGGAGGCGAGAGCGCAAAGTTTTGAACGACGGGAGCAGAGCGTCGATCCGAAAACGAGGCCAACACTGCAGCGGGAGCACACATCTTAAACGCCCAGCACGCTCCGATGCGAGAATAGCATACGATCAAAAGCACAAGCTTGACATCCTGTCCGCCTAGAAACAAATATGCGGGGAAAAAGTGGACACGCTCTGGCCGGACCTGGGGAGAGAGGAGAGCTGCACTCAGACTGAGCAACTGTGGAGACGGGGGAGGGGGGACGTAGGGCAGGGAGGGGAGAGGGGGGCGGGGGAAAGGGAGGACGGGCCAGCCGCAGGAAGGCGGGGAGCAAGGCGGGGGAAGAGGGGGGAGGAAGCGGCGGAGAAGTCGGGGGGGAAAGGGGGCAGGGGAAGAGCGGAGGGGGCGGGCGGGGGGGGGGGGGGGAAGGGGAGGGGAGGGCGGGCCAGCCGAGGGAAGGCGGAGAGCAGGGGGGGGGGGGGGGGAAAGGAGGGGGGGGGGGGGGGGGGGGGGTGGGGAAAGGGAGGGGGGAAAGGGGGGGGGGGAAGGGGGGGGGAGGGGGGAGGGGGCCAGCCAGCCACGGGCGGGCAGGAGAGCGCCGCGGCGCTCGCTCGGCGCCCCGGGCGCGCGTCGCGGCCCGCGGCGAGCCGAGCGCGGCGCCGCGGAGGGGAGCGCGCTCCCGCACCGTCAGGGGTGGCGCCGCTGCGGGCCCTGGCGCTTAGTGGGCCCTGGAAACGACAGGGCCGTTTTGATACCGATTCCATTTTGCCGTCTTTTTTGCCGTTTCCGGCCGCCGTTTTTTGTTGCCGTTCCCATTTTCAAGGGAGATGTTCTGGAAACGGTGAAAAAAAGGGCCCTGCCGATTCCGGGGCCCACAAAGCCCTGGCGGCAGGGAGCGGCAGAAACAGCGCGGGCCACCTGGGCGCGGAGAGGAAGGCGCCACACACGGCCTGCAGCTCAGGCATCCCAGCCTGCCCCCTGGGCGTGGGTGGTTCCAGGCACTAGACTAGATGTGTCAAGCCATCCCCTTCTTCCCGCTGCGGGGAGGGGGGAGTTCGTCCTCCCCCCACCCACACGTCGCGACACCTCGATCATCGCCTAGACAGACGAGGGCGTTAAAATGCCACTCGGAATGAATCCGCTGTCGATGTGAAAGCTGTCAGCAGCCTATTGCGGTCCCTTGGGGTGCCAGTTGCGGGCCTCTGGATAAACTCTTGAAACTTCGCAATGGTGTCTTGAAGCCTCTCAGGGTCCTCTTGAAGACCTCTGAAGGCTCTTGGGGCTTCTTGGACTACCTGGCTGCCGACCATGAGTTCCCTAAACAACCTAATGTTAGTTTAGAGAGCTTTCGGGATTCTGTCTTGAAGACATCTGGGGATGCCTTGGGGTCACCATGGCCGAAAAAGGGGCCGTCTTCGGGTCATACGTGCCTCAGATGGGCCATATGAAGGTGATGTGAGGCATCTCTTGGGCCATCTTGGGCGTTCTGACCCCAAGCCCGACTTGGGGTCAGACGCCCAGAACGCCATAGCATTTGAGAACTTGACTTGCAAAAGAATGTGTTCAACTACTTCTTGATTATACGGTGCATTTTGGAGGTCCCTTGGAGCCCTTTTGGCTGTCCAGGGCCCATGTTGGGATGACTTGGAGGCTGTATTCACTGAAATGTCTGCTCGCGGTAAGTCCATCCTGTAAGGAATAGTGGCCGTTTGAGAGGCTATCTAGTGGCATCCAACGTAGCCGTCTTAGAAGCGAACCGACCTGGGAGGCCTGCCGAGACAAGACGTCCCACGCAAGCCCTCTGGATGCGGGCGACTGGAGGTGTTAACCCGTTCCATCAAGGGGAATCCCGCCCGAGAGTCTAGACGGATGGGGAGTCGTAAAGTGTCTGAGGCTCCATGTTAACCCACGGTGGCGCCGAATTGCCGCAGATAGCAGAAGGTGCCGACCAAGATCAAGCAAGATACACAAGCTTGGATCAAGATGGTCTCCAACGTGTCTCATTGAGGCCACAAGACGGCTTGAGGCCGCCACTGAGCCTACTTAAGGATGCCCCCGAGAGGAAAACAAGAACTTCAGGCTGCTGAATGTGGTTGAGCTCTCGATGTTTCGCTTCCGAAGCTTCCGATGGGCCTTTGGGGCTTCAAGATGGCCCAAGAGGACCGCAAGAAGCGCAGAAGGGTCCCAAAGGTCCCCCTCAGCACGCCCAAGGTCCCCAACCCCACGAGAGGCGAGAACGTGTCCCCAAGCCCAAGAGAGACGACGACAAGGAATGAAGCGCACCCCCTTTTGGGACCCACAGCCGCCATGATGGCCGAAAAAGAGCGCCCAAGAGGCCCGCGGAAGGGCCCCGAGAGAGCGCCCAACAGGCAAACACAAAGAGCGAAAAGGGACCAGAAGAGCCCAAAGAGGACTCCGGAGAGCTACCAAGAGACTCCCAAATCCAATGAAGTAGAGAGAATGAACGAGTCGAACTAACAGAAAACGATCGTAAGCATCGTGATATGTAGAACCGACACGCTACCTCCCAGCCTCCCTCCGAGGAGGATGGCGACGACGACGACGCCAAAGGCGGAGGGCGTAAGCCTAAGAGTCACGTTCAGGACGGTCCCCCCTTGTGGATCTCTGGCCAGGGCGCGGCCAGTGGAAGACTCCTTGGTACCCTGCGCAATCCAAACACATTCGAAAGCATTATATTAGCCAACGTTTTCTGATTCGGCGTTTCGACAGTGGGCGGCTGGGAGGGGGGAGGGGGGGTCTGGCTCCGGACCTCTGCTTAGCGTGACTGTGTGCAACAGTGCGTCCTGTGGGGGACACTCCACTGCTCGAAACAGGCACCAAAAACAGCCGAGATCTGCTCCAGGGGGGAAGGGAGGGGGGGAGGGCGAGGGCCCGCGCCGATCGGCAAAACAACGAATAAGAGAACGGTCGTTTGACGCATACGGAAACCGTCGAGCCTTCTGCCAGGCTGTCAGCAGGCTTCGAGTCGAGCCCCTCGGAGCCAGCTCGCGGCTGCCCCCGCGCGCGGGGCTTCAAGCGCGGGCCGCTCAGGCGCCGAGCTTCTGCCTGCGGCGGGTCGTGGGCAGGCAACCGTCCCGCTCACCCTTCGTTGGCAGCTCACGGGAGCCTCCTATACCGTCTTGCTGGCTCTTGCGAATCGACGCTGGTCGACGCCAAATCGACGCTGACTCGATGCTAAATCGGCGCCATCCCATCGACTCCCGAACGCTAATCGACGCTAGTTGCCGCTAAAGACGGAATTAAGAGGGTATACCAAGCTCCCACGTTTTGCTACCGAAGCCCACACCTCAGTACTCCTCATGCATCGTCCCATCGCATTTGCCCCTCCACCTCGCCAGCTCTAGAGCAGTACGGGTGCTACTGCACCCACGTGCAAGACAAGGCTAAAAGCAAACCCAGAAACGCGAGGGAGGCGCCAGGCAGCCGCCCACAAAGGGCGGCTGCGGGCCCATCGGGGCCCGTCGAGGAGCAGTTTCTCGGGAGCCACTCCCCTGGCCCTGGCCCGCTCGCGGGCCTGGGTGCCCAGGGCCTGGGCTGCGGTTTCCGTGAGCCTTCCCCCCATCCCCCACCTCCTCGTCCTCCCCCTCCTCCTCCTCCTCCTCCTCCTCCTCCGCCTCCTCCGACTCCTCCTCCTCCGCCTCCTCCTACTCATCCTCCTCCTTTTCCTCCTCCTCCTCCTCTTCTCCTACTGCTGCTCATCTTCACCTGTGGTAGTAGAAATAGTAGCAGTAGTAGCAGTAGTAGCAGTAGTAGTAGTAGTAGTAGTAGTAGTAGTAGTAGTAGTAGTAGTAGTAGTAGAAGTAGTAGTAGTAGTAGTATAGTAGTAGTTAGTAGTAGTAGTAGTAGTAGTAGTAGTAGTAGAGTAGTAGTAGTAGTAGTTAGTAGTAGTATTAGTAGTAGTAGTAATAGTAGTAGTAGTAGTAGCCGTGGAAATAGAAATAGTAGCAGTAGCAGTAGTATAATAGTAGTAGCAGTATTAGTATTATTTGTTGTAGTAGTAGTAGTAGTAGTAGTAGTAGTAGTAGTAGTAGTAGTAGTAGTAGTAGTAGTAGTAGTAGTTGAGTAGTAGTAGTTGTAGTAGTAGTAGCCGTAGTCGTAGTAGCAGCAGCAGCAGCAGCAATAGTAGTAGTAGTAGTAGTAGTGGTAGTAGTAGTAGTAGTAGTAGTAGTAGTAGTAGTAGTAGTAGTAGTAGTAGTAGTACGAAAGCAGGAAGGTTGGAAGGCAGGAAGGCGGAAGGAAGGTAGGGAGGTAGGGCAGGCAGGCAGGCAGGCAGGCAGTAGTAGTAGTAGTAGCAGCAGCAGCAGTAGTAGCAGCAGCAGTAGTAGTAGTTGTAGCAGAAATAGTAGTAGTATTAGTAATAGTACTACTAGTAATAGTAGTAGTAGTAGTAGTAGTAGTAGTAGTAGTAATAGTAGTAGTAGTAATAGTAGTAGTAGTAGTAGTGTAGTAGTAGTAAGTAGTAGTAGTAGTAGTAGTAGTATAGTAGTAAGTAGAGTTGTAGGTGGTAGGTAGTTACGTAGTAGGTAGTATGAGTAGTGTAGTAGGAGTAGTAGTAGAGTAGAAGTAGTTATAGTAGTAGTAGTTAGTATAGTAGTAGTAGTAGTAGTATGTATAGTAGTAGTAATAGTAGTAGTAGCAGTAATAGTAGTAGTAGTAGTAGTAGTAGTAGTAGGTTGTACGTGGTAGGTAGTAGGTAGCAGGTAGTAGGAGTAGTAATAGTAGTAGTAGTAGTAGTAGTATTAGCAAGAGTAGTAGTAGCAGTAGTCGTAGTAGTAGTAGTGGTAGTAGTAGTAGTAGTAGTAGTAGTAGCAGTAGTAGTAGTGGGAGTAGCGGGAGTAGTAGTAGAAGTAGTAGTAGCAGTAGTAGCAGTAGTAGCACGAGTAGTAACAGCAGTAGTAGCAGTAGTCGTGGTAGTAGTTGTAGTAGTAGTAGCAGTAGTAGTAGTAGTAGTCGCCGCCGTCGTCGTAATAATAGGTCCTAGTAGTAGTGGTAGTAATAGTGGTCGTCGTAAAAGTACTAGTAATAGCTGCCGCAATAGCCGTAGTCGCAGTCGTAGGCGTAGCAGTAGGAGTAGTGACAGTAGCAGCAGTAGCAGCGATACTAAAACGAGTAGTAGTATACTAGTAGTAGCACGACGAAATCACATTCGTTGTCGTAGTCACAGCCGTAGTAGTAGTAGTATTAGTAGTAGTAGTAGTAGTAGTAGTAGAAGTAGTAGTAGTAGTAGTAGTAGTAGGAGTAGTAGTAGTAGTAGTAGTAGTAGTAGTAGTAGTAGTAGTAGTAGTAGTAGTAGTAGTAGTAGTAGTAGTAGTAGTAGTAGTAGTAGTAGTAGTCGTGGTGGTGGTGGTGGTGATAATAATAGCAAAAGTAGTAGCCGTCGTAATAACAGTGGTGGTAATGATAATAGTAATGGTGAAAAGGGGCACAGCGACGCAGAGGGTGTCCCAGCACAATACGGAATCCACTCAGGATGTGGGACTGGAGAACGGGGACAGAGGATCAATAATACTTAGTACCTCGTAATGGGGGTTCAGCAACAACAACAACAACAACAACAACAACAACAACACCAACGCCACCAACAACAGCAGCATCACCAACAACAACAACAACCACGTTCAAACTGTTCGCTCGTACCTGCTTGCGTGGCATTCATCACGTAAATACCAAACCGCCGATACCCGCCCTCTTCGTCTTCGATCGTACCCCCATTAGGGGTGTATCTGCCTTACCTGCAACGCGTCTTTCGTGCAGCCCCCCCTCGGGCATTGGAAGAGAGAACGGATGGAAGGAAGGGGCACAGGGAAGGAAGGAGGATGGAGCACGACAGAGAATAGCAGGAAGGGGGGCGAGGAGCAGATTAGCTTGGCGAAGGACCCAACCGTATGCAGTTGTGAATACCGTCTTTGTGAGCAACGCATTCGGTGGGGTTCCCCATAGGGCCACGAAACGCGGCCTTGGGTGCGGGAACCGCATGCGAACACCCCCACTGGGACCTTCGGTGGAGCTCCCCGTGGGGCCACGAAGCGCTGCCCTGGGTGGGGGAGAACATGCGGGCACCCCCACTGGGGCCTTCGATGGAGCCCCCATATGAGGCCACGAAGCGCTGCCCTGGGGAACCGCATGCGGGCACCCCCACTGGGGCCGACGGTGGAGCCCCCCATGTTGCCACGAAACGCTGCCCTGGGTGGGGGAGGCGCATGCTGGCACCCCCACTGGGGGCCTACGGTTGGGCCCCCTATGGGGCCACGAAACGCTGCCCTGGGCGGGGGAACCGCCTGCGCCCCCCCCCCCCACTGACTGGGGCCTTCGGTGGGGCTCCCTACGGGGCCACGAAACGCTGCCCTGGGTGCGGGAACCGCATGCGACCCCCCCCCACTGGGGCCATCGGCGGAGCTCCCTATGGGGCCACGAAACGCTGCCCTGGGCGGGGGAACCGCATGCGAGAGCAGCCACTGGGGCCTACGGCGGAGCCCCCTTATGAGACCACGAAACGCTGCCCTGGGTAGGGGCACCGCATGCGGGCACCTCCACTGGTGCCTTCGGTGGGGCTCCGTACGGGGCCACGAAACGCTGCCATGGGTGGGGGAACCGCATGCGACCCCCCCACCGGGGCCATCGGCGGAGCTCCCTATGGGGCCACGAAGCGCTGCCCTGGGTAGGGGCACCGCATGCGACCCCTCCCCAAGTGGGCCATCGGCGGAGCCCCCTATGGGGCTACGAAACGCTGCCTTGGGTGGGGGAACCGCATGCGACCCCCCCCCCCAACGGGGCCATCGGCGGAGTTCCCTATGGGGCCACGAAACGCTGCCCTGGGCGGGGGGAACCGCATGCGCCCCCCCTCCACTGGAGCCATCGGCGCAGCTCCTTATTGGGACACGAAACGCTGCCCTGGGCGCGGGAACCGCATGCGGGCACCCCCACTGGGGGCCATCGGCGGAGCTCCCTATGGGGCCACGAAACGCTGCCCTGGGCGGGGGAACCGCATGCGACCCCCCCCGCCGCCCCACGGAGGCCATCGGCGGAGCTCCCTATGGGGACACAAAACGCTGCCTTGGGCGGGGGAAACGCATGCCACCCCTCCCACTGGGGCCATCGGCGGAGCTCCCTATGGGGCCACGAAACGCTGCCCTGGGCGGAGGAACCGCCTGCGCCCCCCCCACTGACTGGGGCCTTCGGTGGGGCTCCCTACGGGGCCACGAAACGCTGCCATGGGCGCGGGAACCGCATGCGAGAGCAGCCACTGGGGCCTACGGCGGAGCTCCCTCCTTTTGGGGCCACGAAACGCTGCCCTGGGTGGGGGAACCGCATGCGACCCCCTCCACTGGGGCCATCGGCGGGGTTTCCTCTGGGGACACGAAACGCTGCCCTGGGCGGGGGGACCACATGCGACCCCCCCCACTGGGGCCATCGGCGGAGCTCCCTATGGGGCCACGAAACGCTGCCCTGGGTGCGGGAACCGCATGCGACCCCCCCCAGGGGGGCCATCGGCGGAGCTCCCTATGGGGACACGAAACGCTGCCCTGGGTGGGGGAACCGCATGCGACCCCCCCACACCGGGGCCTTCGGTGGAGCTCCTTATGGGGCTACGAAGCGTGTGAGAGATGTGCCGAGAGCAGAGGCAAGGAGGGGGAGGAGGGGGGAGGGAGGGGGCAGCGGGAGGAACGCGGGGCGCCGTCTCTTCAAAACGAGGACCCAACACCACAGGATGGTTGGGAAAAACACATGGCAGAACCAGACGGGCAGATCGGGCGGGTAGTCCCTAACGGGCGGGTCGGGAAGGCGGGCCCAGACGGCCAGGTCGAGCAGGCGGGTTGCTGAAGCGTGCGTCCTGCATGAATCGCGAGGGAGTCCCGAGCGATGGCGCAATTCCGAGATAAATCCGCAGGAAATCCAGGAGTGTCGCGGGCGCGGCGTCTGAATAACTTAGAAGGGCGTCCCACGCGAGAGCGCGACTCACGCATAACTTGTGAGGAAGTTCTGCGCCAGAGCGCGATTTGGGACTTGGGAATACCTTGTGAGGACGTATCAGGCGGGACCCGCTG